ATGTTCGAAATAGAAACCAATATACGACTAATGTTTTTAATATTATGTATGTTTATATGAATAAACATTAATTAAATATATTTTTAAAATAAATACGTACATAATTCCCAGTGAAATGCCAAAAAAAGACCAACAAAAGAAAATTTGTTGAATCTCTCTATAAAGAAAACCTCTTCATAATCGAGGTTTTTTTCAAGCACCAACGACTTCGTTATAGATGGGTTTGACTGTATTTAAGTGGTATATATATGTCGATTAGGGAAAAATGTTTTGTGCCACCCATAGAGGCTTGTATGATTGGCACTTCAGACGCAACAATTTCACCTCTATTTTCCAAATCTCAAGAAATGTTGAAATTTAAGAAAGAATGTTGAGATTTAAAAAAATGTTATTAAACAATTGTTTTAGTGGCATAATAAAAGTATTCAATGAATATTATTAATATTTGAATGGTTTAACAATATATTTATTTACAGAAATTTTGTTTTAAATATTTATGTACATATTTTAAATTATGATTATCATATGATGAGGTATATTGTAGAAATTACAATACTAACATACCTATAATCTTCACTTTAGGCGAAGTGAAGAATTCTTTAATTTTTTTTATTTTAAAACTGCTGGTCATATAAGTATTTATAAAATTACTATATTTTTGTTAAAAACAATTTTTTTATTCTAATTTTGTTTTAATTCAAATCAAAGATTTCATCTAATAAGAAGTTTATCTCCATATTTTACGTTTATAAACAATATCTGTTGAAAATTTTAATATCCACAATAAATCTTTTTCCACCGATGACTTAATTTCGGTTTTTAATGAAGCTTCTGGTGCATAGGTAGGAAAGTCACTTGCATTAAAATAAAGATCCTTTATAATGTAGACGAAATCCTGCAAAATATATATCAAACACTTGTTATTTAAAAATAATTTAATAAAGAGCTTTATTCGGACAGTAGTGAATTGCAACAACAAAATTAAATTATTTATAATAATTCAATTTTTGGCTGACCATACAGATGTTTCGAGTATTGCCAAATAACCAAATGTATCTAGAGCTAATTCTTATATTTAGTTATACGTAAATAATTTTTTGAGACTGCAAGTACTAACGGTTGGATTTATTATCTGCCAAACTTAAAGCTCAGATTAGCCAACTGGCCAAAGCTCTACTTGACTTGTATGTTCTAACTTGGATTTGCTCTGCAAGATCAATAACAAATTTCCTTGCTGTGTTATATTTGAACAAAATCATAGATAAGCTGTAGAATAATTGAATACAAAAATAATAAAATTTTGTTGTTGCAACTCACTACTGTTTCTAAAACCTCTACAAAAAATACTACAGTCTCCATTAAGTAAATAGTTACTTCATAATTTAAAAAAAAAATCATACTTTTCTAAATGGACACTTCATCATTAGATTTGAATGTTTTTCCCATAATTTAAAAAATATATTAAATAGTTTCCCGTTGAGTCCGCCATTAAAAAATTTGCATAACTCAAAACTGGCTTCAATAAATTTGGTACCATTTTTACTGCCCGGGTGCAAAGCTTCAATCAAAACTGTGATTTGTTGTTCCGTTGGACATACGTAAGTAAAATTTAGATTCAATGTAGTCTGTTTAGGTGAACTAAGAAGATGGCCAATTTCACAGTCAAAATGACTCACAATATTTTTGTTGTATGTGTCACATTCCAAATTATTAAACTTTTTTTTTTTTTTTTTTTAAACTTCATTTTATTAAATACAATCTATTCTATTCATGAATAATAAGTACTACTTATGGCAATAACAATATAAGATTGGCATGTACGGGACTACCCAGTGGTAATCACCGCCTTATGAAGAATTACAATTTTTAGAATCTGCTCGGCAAATCCGAAGTTGCATAGCGTATTAATCTACGAATGTTAAAAGCATCCCTCGTTAGGCCTGCGGCAAGGGGGTTAGGATGAACTACCAGTCGTGAGTGATAGTTGCTGCTTATCTGCTGTATTGACTCGTACACAGTAGGGATGCCAAGATCATGATGTAGGACGTTATTCGGGATAAACCATGGGGCGTTGGCGCAGATACGTAGTATTTTTGATTGAAACCTCTGAATCATATCTAGGTTTGACTTCGCTGCTATACCCCAGAATTATTAAACTGAATGTCAAAATTTCGTCGAACCTATCAATATTCAAATTAAATGATATTAAATTTAAAAAATATTATTTAATATATAATAAATCAATAATTAAGAAATTATCTAAACAAGCACACTCACTGTTGCAAATGTTTTAATTATGGTTAAACTTAAAAGAGCCATTATAAACTTAATAAAATGCATTTTGTTGTTAAAGTATCCAGCGCTGAAGCTTAAATATTACTAAAATACAAACTAAAAATATTTATAATAATCATGAACTAAAATTTTTTACAACGAAAATATTTTCCAATAATATATTTGTTTTTATATTTAATATTAATAATATATGTTGTTTAAAATTTTTGAATAATTTGTATCGCATTTTGTAAGGGTTTTTAAACCACTACTTTAGGTTACATACGAAGTTTAGGTTAATTTAGTGAATTATCCATTTTGGTGTGAATCACATTTTATTTTATTTGATGCAACTGAAAAAAAGTCATCTTTTTTTTTGCTCGTAGATCTTCTTTACGTGAATTGATGTTCATTCACCTTTATTATAGAAATTACTTGCTTCCCGAAAACGAATCGGAAATTCCATAAACTGACTGACGGTGATGATTTTCTTTTTATTCAGCAAGGATCTAAAAATCGTCTTCAATTTTTTTAAGAAAATTTTTTTGTCTACACAATTTTAAAGTGATTTATTATTTTCCCTTTAAATTTAGTGTGGCAATATAAAATTTTTCTCTTGACACAATTCCACCTGCTCTTTTTGCAGGTTCAACCAGCTTTCCTAAATACAATTCTCTAGAATTTAGTATCTACAATTAATATACCTAATTTATTTTCATACACCAACTTTTTTTGAAAAACAAGATAAGGAATTTTGGTATAAAAAATAATCAATTTTTCAACGGATCAAAATATTTTTATTAGTATTAGATGCACAAATGCTTTTGGATTATGAATTTACATTATAAGGCAGAGTTTTATATCTTCACCAACATGAGAAGTCCACATAGGAACTTCTTTTAATTATAAATTAGTGATGGGTAAACTCCCAGCACGTATTTTGAGGTTATTTTCCCTACAAAATCTACAAGTAGCATAGTAAGTTCCCAATTTGTTAAGGTAATAGTTTAACATATGGTGCTCTGTCAGAATTTCTGTTATAACTTTTTAATTATATTATATTAGTTGCATATAACTCTGAATTCGTTTAAGGTAATAGTTCCAATAAGCATAATTTCGATTATGATATCACTGGTAGATCACCCCAATATGGTTTGAAATTTGATTACCTCATCTCAAGCAAAAGAAGTGTTCTTTTCTGGCAAATTCATATGCCAGAAATTTCCACTTTTATCGGAATAGATAGGCAGTCAATAATCATCATCATTCTAATTGAAGATTCATTGATTATAATTTGATTTTCAAGCTCTCACTAAGCCTTAAAAAGTGACAAATATACAATTCTTTAAAAACTATTTTTAAGTTAATCCCGCCAAACTATTGAAACTATTAGAGATATTGAAAACTTAAGAAATCGTATATAAAATAAATAAAACTATTGAATCAGGAGGAATACAAATTTAACTGAAACTTTCACTTAGAGGAGCAGAGAGATACTTTCCAAAGAATTTGTCTCATAAAAATAGTTTCAATCAATAAATAATAAAAATAAATATAGCACATATTATTGAATGATTTTTGAGTGAAAAACTAATAGTACTTTATTGTTCTTCATTTATGGATCATTAAACTGGTTAGTTTAAAAAAAATTATTCTATACCTCATAAAATATTGGTATAGTAAATTATGTGAAATTAAGTGTAAAATTATTAAAACTCAATTAAATACTATTTAAACATGAAAAGTTATTATTTTTGAAGTAAGTACATTAAAACGCATATATATATGTATGTATGTATAATAAGTTGAACTCAAAGTTGAAAAATTTTTAACATTTGTTTTCGTATTTTTGAATTTTTAATAAATCGTATAAAACGTTTAATAATACTTACAGTGTATACATGGTGTATAAATTTATATTAAATTAAAAAAGGTTTTATTTTTTTAAATTTGCATAAATTGTTCAAGTATTAATTTCTTTTTTTTTTTGTAGTGAATTGCCAGATAGAAAAAATTAATCAGAATTCCAATATATGGTAAAATAAACTTCTATTATTTCGTTTTGGACTTTTATTTATAATTTAGTTCAATAACATTTAATAAAAAAACTTAAAAATTATTAAGAAAATATTTTTTGATATATTATGGGGTATAATATTATTGAATATTCATCACTATCAGTGACTATGCAGTCCATGTAGGACCTAAGTGAGTGTAACAACAGTATTCCATTCTTCTCTGTTTTTACTTAATATTAAATATTAGTTTTTATTAATTAGAGGACGCAAAAATCTTAAATATTTCTAAAATCTGTAATAACAATGTTGATAGAATCTTAGTTTTCACAGTAATAATGAATTTAAAATCATTTTCAAGCTGTTAAATATATTTTCTAATAGAACAAAAGAGTATCTGAAACGGTTTAATTTTTCCATCCATTAAACAAATTTGAAATAAATTTCGCTTATCAATTGACAATTGTCTAGCTATCGAATTTCAAAGGAGTCTGAAATGAATTTACCACTTCCCATGAAATTGGTGAATCTTTCTATTCAAACAATTATTATTCATCTGAGAAGATTTTTCATCTGAGTTTTCAGCAGATTTTTTAATTTTTTTGTCAGCACATACGCGCCATGATTTTCTTCTATTAACTTTACACCTTTTGTCTATAAGTTTGACAAGTTCGTGCGCTTCTACATTTTATTGTTCTTCATTTATTTCAGATTACATGCAATCACTGTGTAAGAATCACTTCCTGCAGCAGCTCTATCGCAAAATCGATGGCGCTGTACTTTGGTCTCAGAACGAAAGGAACCTCGACTGCGTCATCACCTTCCAGACTCATTCGATTCTGCAACGCTTCATGCTTCGCTTCGATATGTTGCAACTGGACTGTAACGATCATTTGTACGTCTACGACGGAGCGCACGCGGTGGCGACACCAAAGGTAAGTCTGAAAGCTTAATATTGAACATAAGTATTTGCACAAGAAACATTCAGCGAGGTGTCAAAGTGCACGAACTCGTACAAATACAAATACGGACACATGAATGCAGTTCTCACTCCACACTCTACACTCTACATAAAAACACACATAAACACACACACACATATACACAGATGCACGTACTCGTTGAAGCTCAAACGAATTAAAGGCATTTGTATTCATAAAAGACGTTTGCACATTTTCACTCGTTGTCACAGGTGCCGGCGAATGTGCCCAAAAAAAGCTATGAACGACCAAGCAAGAGCTTGGAAGAAACATACAAAAAAGCATAAAAAATGGTAGTAAATCGAAAAATGAAGGAAAAGCGAATAAGAGAAAGTAAAACAAACATGAACTGATACCACGAGATTTAGTTGAGTTAATAAAGTGTATGAGTGTGCGTGTGTATGTTTGCGTTAATGGCAGTGTCTACTTGCTTGTTTGCTTGTTCGTTTGTTGAGCTCGTTTATGTCGTGAGTTGGTCTGCTGCGCTGCCATGGCGTGGTGGACTTTGTCCCACTTAATCCCGGCGCTTTTTTATTGGTACGTTTAAGTGTTAAAATTGGCTTCACTTTAAGAATTAAGTCCATTTTACGAGTCACTTTAACATCTTAAATGAAATTTCAGTGTCTACGAAACAGTTTATTGTGAACTTTTTAATTAAATCTAAAAGTAAAATGCAATAAATTAAGTACGTTTACAATTTAATGTGTTTTTTAATTATATTCCCATATGAGTTACTAAAGGAAGATGTGTGCTATACAGTGCGGTTTTTAATTAAAACTATAAAAATAAAAAATCATCAGTTGATTCGAAGAACAAAATAAAATGAATGGACAGCATGGAGATTGCCGTTAAAAATTCATTGCAGAACTAAAAGTATAGACTTTTGTAGGAAATACTAAATTAGTGCTGTGATATTGGATAAGCAATTAATGCCATAAAAATTGCTGTCATCGGATTCCCACCATACACTGCGGCATTTAAAAAAATCCAAAAAGGTGAAAATATGATAAATGACCATGAAATTTTTTGAATTCTCTTCTACAATCATTCTTCTCTAAAGGAAAAACTATGACTATAGCAAAATTTAAATACTTAAAATGATACTAGTATGAAAATTGCTTAAATATATCTCATACATTTATTTAAGAAATACATGTGAAATTATTCTTAATTAAAATAACATTTTTAACTTCAATTTTAATTTAATGAGTAAATCAGTTATAAATAATATATTGTGATTTCTAAAAAAATACTATTCTATAATATTCAGTGGACTAATATATATATATACATCTATTTATATATATGTATGTATCTCACAGTTATTACAGTTACAGTTAAGTTGTTACAGTAGTTGTCGTAACAACTACTACCAATAACTGATCGATTGAGTCATCAGTGGGGTTGAATATATACTTTGACTAATAGGCCTTCACACACATGTAGTATGTTTTTCAAGATCGTGGTTGCACTGCAATAACGTGCTCAATCTCACCTAATATCGTCCGTGAAAAACGATGTCTTCTAGTCTCTATTTTCCTGCTCTATTGCAGTCACTAACTTAAGTTCAATCGATTTCAATTGATCCATACTTACTATCATCAATCGACCCATACTTACTATCATCACCTATCCACATCCTAAGCCATGTATACGTCTTTGTAACTCGTTTCATATAATAACATGACTGCTTTAATATCTCTACAGACTATAACAACTAGTCGTTTCATTTCTTAGATTTAAAGAAGTGTTTATATAATGTAATTTAAAATTTAAAGATAGACTAGGATAACTTTGGAATCATTTTTATTTGAGAAATTTTCCATTGTTTTGAATAATAGCCAAGATAAAGGATGCTATTGAAGATCAACATCGGGGACGATACTGTTATGTCGACTAATTTGTGTGTCATTTTACCAGTGATTTGCCATGTCAACGTGTTTTTTTTTGGTTTGAAAAGATCAGGATAGTTTCCTTGGCATACTTCAAGCATAATGTAATGGAATTTTTAACATAGAAAAAGACTCAATAATAGGTTTTATATCTATTGTTTTTAGATTTTGTTGAAAAATACTCTCAATGTGTTCTGCTAAAATGCAATTTTATCTTCGTCACTTAGAACCCAATATCCTTTATATATTTGTAACAAAAATTATTATATTAATAGTTTCAATAACTTAATAAAGTACCAATCTATTTTGTAATATATTTGTTTCATCAAATATTGTAGTGTAGTTGTATATGTTATAAGTAAATAATACTTGACATCACCACTAAAAATAATTTAATCATAAATTAAAATCATAAAAAATCTATAAATCATAAATTATCCAAATAGGTTTTAAAAAGACCTTAGGTTATTTTCTAAAAACGAGCCAGAAATAACACATGAGAGCATGTCACTCCATTTTAAAACTGCAATTATTTTTCAAAAAATGGTCCCCAGCCAATTAAGAGCTTAACTAGCATCTTTATTTTTGCTTGTTGTTGTTTTTCTCCCTTAGCAGATTTGATAACAGCACAAGTCGCTTAGGTTGTCATATCCTCATAAGTATTTTATGCCGCTATTTAGATTCTTAACCTGCATATTTGCATTTTCGTATGCACAGTAAATTTGTAGCTGCTGCATGAGCCGCATCAAAACGACAACATTTAGCACACATGCTACAAAGCGCACACGGTGATCCATGGTGCTCCATGGTGGAGTTGGGTCCCACCAGCATCCAGCCTCGTGATGCTGCAAACAGCTTTAAACGCACAATCGACAGTGGTTAATTTCGCCATGTTTGGTTAGTCATTCAGGATTTTTTCAACTTTTTTGAATTTCAGTGCAACGCCGTTACCTGAATACCCTATCGCGTTACAGGAACGGTGTTACTTTGGTAACCATTTAAATTTTTTCTCTTCTCAACTTTTTTTTATTTAATTTGTCCTTTAGTGCCTGCTGCACATATTTTGTCTAACTTTGTTTCAGGTACGGTTACAAGGATGCTCGTGAAAGAACTACTGCCTTCTGCGTTGGGAATTTATCCTTTTGTGACTTTTCAAGTTTTTCAGAGAAGATTTCTGTATGTTATGGAAGTTATGCAGTTCCTGCTTTGTTGAGATTTCAGCAACGGTCGTAAAAAATATTCTAACTTTTGCATGAAGATTCTTGAAGAGTATTTCGTATTTACATTTACCCAGATTTTTATATTTACATTAGATAAATTAGAAATAGGTATGAATTATATCTTAATTTATTTAAATATGCCATAAAATCATCGACTTAATCGTTTTAATATGAGTACAAGTAATAATTGAAAAAAAATTTTTTTTTCGACTAACTTTTAATGCTTTTATAAAAAAATAAAGTATACGAATGGCTAATTTAACATCTAACCAGATAATTTGTTTGCGAGAATTCAATCTGATTAATTATTTCCTTGAAGAAGATCGGTAGTGAAAGACTTCTCCAACATAATATAAGTAATGTCCGTGGGTAACAGTTCGACAAATCGTATTTTAAGGACGATAATCGTCATTATAGAAAATATTTTTAAGAAGGAATAAATACTAAAGTTTTTATTGTTGAGTTCAATTATTTTTAAATAATAATTACATAAAGAAGCATAAGTTGATTAAGTAGAATTAATACTTTTACACTTTGAATTGTGAACATTTCATAAAAAAATATTTGTAGCAAATTAAATATTGCTATATCTTATAAATACAACTATTCTGTCCATTTACTATTCTGCATTATAAATTTCGAATGTAAAAATTTATGTTGAAAAAAAAAATCTTCTTTAAGAGTAACTAAGATAAAGAATATAAAAAAAATTTAACAGGATAAAGTTACATTCATATAAGTTGTTGTATTTTCGTATATCATACGTAATACCACTGATTTAAAATATGTTTTATAACTTAAAAACTTGTAAGTAATACAAATTGCATATAGGTTCTTTTAGATCATTATTATCGGTAGTTATAACAGCGCGATTTATTTTTAAACTATCTTAAAGAGTGTACGACAGCTGTTTTTGTCCCCCATTGCAGCCCTATAGCTTTTAGTCACTTTGTGTTCATCCTTTGCTACTTTGTTCGTCTACCTTAGGCACGGTTTTCCCTACCTTCTTGCATCTCAGGCTTGTGTTTTTTATATATTGGTCATTATGTTGTCCTCATTGGATCAAAGTATGTATATCATACTCTTAGGGAATTTCGTTCCTCTTAGTTCTGTTAGGACATACCCTTTTATTTTTCATTTGAGATATATTTGTCCTATATGGATAATAAGTTCTAATGACTGATTATTTTATATGTTTTTCCTATATCTAACTATATTTATTGTATTTTAAAAATGTATTACTGATATTTTTATGCACACAGTTTTTTATAATAGCATTTGTTAATAATAAATATGTTACTGATATTTATGAACAACATTAAAATTTCTGTGTTGACAAGATAAAATGAAAGAGTCTATCCACAAAACAAAAAGTTTAGTAATAAAATCTTACTTAAAAAGAAAATTTAATTTTACATAAAATATATAAAATTTTTTAGACACTCTAAACTAGTTGAGATTTTCTGCAAAAAAAAAATATTTTTAAAAATAGTGTAGCACATTAGTTAGTCTTTAAACATATGTAAGATTGTTAATGTAATGATGTATATTTATTTAATTTAAAGTATAAAACGTATTATAAATTTGGCTAATAAACGTCGTATCGGCTCTTCAATTCCTCAAGTAAGATTAATTGCATCCACTCTGACATCTCGCAACACACTGACTCTTCTCGTGGCAAAACGACACTTCTTTACTTACTGACGTTTACCACTTATATATACTTACTGTTAACTGATATCCATTCTAAAGTATTTGATTTATTTTTGACACATCGAGTTTATTATGTTTAAAGTTTTAGTTTTGATATTTAAAGTAAATCTCTCTTCTACAATATAAATTA